CTTCTCCGAAAGATTTACTACTACTCTATATATTCCTTTAGAAACGATTATAATATTAATTATCTGATTACTACTTAATTCATTTATTCAAAATATACTGTATGGCAATAAACTGATCTGGTTTTTAATTAGCCATGTATGTCTAGCTTCCTCTGATCTCGACCTTGTATAAAATTGATCATACATATTTTAGCTATATATCTAATAACTTATTTCAAGCTTTATATAGACCCTATATGGATCATTCAGCTAAAATAACCTGATTTGCGTTCCAATCCGATATTTTTTGTTATACATAGTAACCATGAAACAATAAAGGTTTAATCCTTAAGCTTGTAAAATATTCGCAAGACGTCATAAAATTTCAAATTTAAAAGATAAGTTCAACTGATTTTTCCAGCATATATTTTCAAGTCTTTAGGGACCAGAACCCAGGTGTCGCCATGTGGTATAATTAAAAATAAACATCCATAAAAATGCGGTATGTTGAGTGACATTTATCGGTGGAATAAATGTTCTAAGATATGCTATTATTTGAAAATCAATTGTATAATTTTTAAAGAGCAATTAAGAGTCGTTAGGTTTATATGCATTAAGAAATTTTTTATTTAAGTGTTAAAATTATTAGTGAAAGTTAATTCATTGCAAAATATTCCTCAAAACAAACGTTCCAGTCTTGTCAAACATTAATATATCATTAAAAAAAGAAATTTAAATAGCCCAGGACAGAAGGAGAGGTGCCAAAACTATTTAGCACGCAATTGGTCAAAGGATCAACCTCAATTGTCTCTTTGATTAGTTGTAATGGGGTGCTAAGAATGACAAGGCTGACTGACGGTACCAGCGAAACGTCTGTAAAGGTACCAAGTTCACGGTCTAACTCTGAAAATTATCATGCGTACTATGGACTCAACAAGGTGCATTCTTCTAGGTCTTCCTGCCAATATGACCAAGTTGCGAAAGCAAGGTCAAACAACTTGCTCTCTTACATTTGTGTTCTATAAAGTCTTACATATCAGCATTGGCATTGATTATTAAACCGAGTCTAGCATTTTTCTGTCAAGACTTTCTTGTGTTTTCGGTTTATTTAAATTTTCTAACTCATGCAGTAAAAATAAATTAATGCGAAATAGTTCAAATTATATTTTTTTAATGACCAGCCGCACGAAGACCAACAAATTAACAGGCATAAAGATACGTAAACAAGTGCCATTCAATTATTAAAAATATATTTATTAATAAAGTTAAGAAAAAAAATTAAAAATTGTACGAATTGTGTATGTTTGAATATACGAGGCATGTGCTTTCTAAGTGTTGACACGGCGGGCTTTTTGCTGCCCTCGTATTCAGCTATGGGTGACCTGCAAAATTTCATTCGGCAACAGTTTGTTGACCACAACTGGACGAAAGACCTTACAATTTCATCACTTTCATTAGAAAAGCTCGAATCAATAGCTTCATCATTTTGCCATATCGATGTCAAATCTAAGCTGTATATACTTTTGGCCTATAGTAATTCCGATTTGCCATCCGACCTCCAGGTAAGTCTCTGCTCATTTGGTAATTTGTTCGTGTTGTATCAAATAAATGCAAAATTGCCTATTTTTTCTGATAGGCAAGAAAGCATTGTGAAAATGTTTTTCTTCAAGCTTTGGACGAAGAAAATAACCTTGTCAAGGCAGTGGCTACGATTTTGTATAGTAAACAAACTCTTGGGCACCTTAATTTTGATGTTTCTTCCACTCATGAGTCATTTGAAAGCAATATAAATAAGCTTCTTAGCACGAAAGACCTATGGGATGAATCGGATTCCCCTCTTTTAGCGGAATATCTTGGAATTAACGCAAGTCAATCATCTGGGACTTTGCCGACGCAGAATCCTTGCTCAATTACTGGGGAAAAGCATCTCGGATTTACTCTTCGATGTAAGCCTAAGTCAATTTACCTGAAAGAAGCATATTTGGAGAAATTACAAGATGAATGTCATCGGCGGAGGGTCCATGTCCCTATTCCCTCAAGAAGCCATTCTAGACAAGATGATTTGGATGACACCAATGGCAGCTCCATCGGAGCACCTGGCAATCACTCTTCGAAGCATAGTATTCTTGAAGGTTCTGGGTTTCGTCGCGCACCTGTTTTTCCTAGATCCTATAATCAGCGAAATCTTAGTAGCTTGCCCGAAAACGCCGATGCTTTGACACATTCCGGTCTAAATTCACAGCAAATTAGAAACTCTGCAGCCACTATACGGGCTTCTTTAGCTGGAAAATCACGTCATATCGATGATGGTCTTGAAGATGGATCAATTCCTCTTAGTGAAAGATTGTCCTCTCTATCATCTGCCAGCCATCTAAGATCAAAAACTCAAGGAGGAATCAAGCTGCTTGAATTTAGTGATCTTCCGGTTCATGGAATAAAAGCCAAACAACTGAGGAAAGGTAGGCAGTTTCGGAGGAAGCCTGTGCTCTCGATATCCATCTATTAAAACTTTGTATTTAGTATTTTTTTAGATTTATTTTAATTGCGAACCAAATAACTAACCAATAGATTATTCATTTATTTATTATGCCCACCACGATAACATCAGCGGTTAAATATTGCCAGAAAACGTATTACATATTTTACAACTTTTCCAGGTTTTTTTATTTTTGAATGTGATGTTTTACACTGGTTTATGGTATATATTATATAATTTAGTATATATTGCACCTGTGAAGTTATGCAAAAATGTGTTTCTATATTGATATATAGACTTGTCTAATAACTCAGTATAGTCCCAAATTATTTGTCAATGTCAATATTTTTATATTCATATAGTCTTATTCATCACGTACTTGTCGTTCTAGTATCGCTTGCTCAAATCGATCCTTAAATCGTTGTAGGTTGTGTATAAATTCTGAAGACATGGCTAGCTACTTCATAAAATCCCTACACATTCCTAACCATTCATCTATGTAAAGCCTTTTATATGTTAATGGTCTTGTTTTAAAAATATTTATTTATATTATTTCTGTGACATACCTTTATATTAACTTTAAAATAACAATGATCATTTTAATACTTTCTCATCTATATTAATTTTGTTTTATAATTCTTACTTGTATTAAAGCCAATTATCCTCAGTGCTCTATTATAAACTCTTAATTGTGAGATGATTTCAGCCTTTTATTATTTATCGTTCATCGATTTCTATTATTCTTAAGAAAGACAGCTTGTTTAATTAATTTTCCTTTCATCATTAATAATCACGAATTGTTTATCTTATCTTGATTTTATCGGGTTCGTTTTTTCTCATTTTTGACCATTAAACTCATGTTGCTTGTTTTAACTTTAGTAAACTTTTATCAAAGTTAATTTTTCAAGTATCCTGTTGCTATTTAACTAATATATGAACTTTATTCTATTTTATTTCGCTATTTTGAATTGTTGGGTATGATGAATATCGATTCTTGTACTCACTATTGTCAAAACTCTTCATCTTGCTATTTTCTGGACCCATTGTAGCTCTGGTTAATTTAGGCAACAGTTACGCTCATTCTTTAGCTTGATTCTTTTTATTTTACTCTGAACTGCTAGTTATTATATTGGTACAATGAATAACAATTAATTGGTTGTGCCTGGTTATTTTGTAAATCTATACATTTAATTCTATTTCGAAAAAAGTATTTCCGCTCGTTTATGTTGATCACCAACAACCTGGCTTTCCAGACTATCTAGTCATAATACAGAAATGGAAATTGATAAAGAATTTAGTTAGTATGAGATTAAGGATATATACAAAGTAGAGTACTCAGTTTTAGTATTTGCGAGGCCGGAATGTCGATAGTTTTTGTTGATTTTATTCTAGTAAATTTGTTTATTTTTGACACGGAGGCAAAATTTTTCAGGCTGGATCTTATATGAAACATTTCATTAAAAACCTGATACACAAGTTCCTGCCAAAACCTTAATATCTGTGAAGTAATTGAAAATCATTTTCTGTTATTTATTCAGTTAAGTTCCTGTATCTTCATTGGGTCTAGGCTTCTCTAAAGCCATTACTTTGATGAGACGACCATCGGTTTTAGGTCGGTGAGGTGTGACTTTATAGCCACTGGCTAGATATAAATTAATGGAAAGCTTTGGGGTTGAGTCAGGATAATAACCTACAAATTTTTCCGTTCCTCTAGATACACGCTTATCCTAAACGTTACAGCTTATGTATGCTTTATATATTAGTCCTCATCATAGTGACCAATTTATGTGTGCCCTGGCTAGTGTTATTCTGCCTTTGTATTTATATGTTAAATAAATGTAATATTAAATCTTATTTTTTAGCTGATTTAATTTTTGTCAAAGTGTGTTTTTAAGAGATCCATTGATTCGTAAGCCAGAATTCCTAATAAAGGTAAGTTCCAGCCTTCCATATGAAAGACGAACGCTTGGCATATTTCCATCGGAATCTAAGTAGTGTGCCTCGAGGACTGCCAGCATTAATCACTCAGAAAACTCGTACTACAGAATGCCGAGGGGAATCTGAAGTCCTTCCCTAGCGAGTTTGATTTACTAATCTTTACATTACATTTTTTCACGCGAGTAATTATATTAGTTGATATCCAGTTATTCGTTGTATGAATATATTTTGTAAATATATATATATATATACTTCTTAAATGGCAAATACATTGTCAGCTATTGTTGAGTTCAATGAGTGTTGCTTTACCTTGAGTCATACGTGCCTAATAAAATATGGATAGGTTCATGCCTAAGGTATAAATCAAGCTTTCTCTGACCTTTCTTTTACACTGTCGTTAGCACTCAATTACATAACGATTCAAAGCCGATGCAT